TAGTGAAAAAATTATAGATACTATCGCAAAATATCATAATTTATCTCCATTAGGATTGTTTACATTGTTTGGTAATGGTGTTTATGTTCAGTTTTCGACCGTTCAGCTTTGTTATTTGTCAATTTTGGAACTTTGTATTTTCCAGCGGTCTATTGTGTTTTGATTGAGCACTATATTATCTCTGTTCAACATTAGATAACGTCACTACCTCTAGTTGAACTTCATATATACCAACATACATAAGCTGTAAGTTTTTATCATTATTGAACAATAATTCTCATGAAAACCTGTGTGGGATGTTGATTTCCAATTCGAATATATGGCTGGGATATTCCCCTGATAGCATGATATTTTTAAAAGAAAATCCAGCATACTTTTTGAGAATAAAATGTTCTTTCGAAGGTGAATTTAGGTATGCAGTTTCTACTTGACTTTTTACAACATAATCATCAAAACCCTGATTGATAAAATTCTTTACTGTTTAAAAATTCTACTGTTCATGAGTAAAGATATATTCAGTTTAAAATTTGTTTGTTTTTTTACCATCACCCCAAGAAGTAGGTATTATATTCATAATAGACATACATTTGAGAATATATATGAGTACATTTTCAGTGAAGTGTAAAAAACAATCTCTCATTATGTTCAGACACTTTTTCCAATCTTCAAGTAATGAATCCACACCTTTCTCCTACCGATCACTTCCTCATTTCCCAAATTATTAGTTTCAAATGCTAATTTAGACTGTCCTGATTTTTAAAGGATTGAAAGCTATACTCGGGATTTTTTTGCTCAAGGTGAACAATCAGGTACACAACAATAATGACTCATGTTTTTAAACGTTTATAGAAGTTCTCAAACAAAATAATAGACAATTAAAACACAACTACTCCTTATACAAAATACAAGCAAACTAATGTAAACAAAGCAATCAATGGCCCATACGTTAGTTATATTAGACAACGGTAGAGGGAGTACTCCTTAGCATGAATCGCCTATACTTGACAAAGTAGGATTGAAGAACCTATTATATATCATTGATGTTATGACATGGTTATCATGCATTCAAAGAATAATTTCTGGAAATCTAGACATATTGATGATGTCGGTAACGTCATACTGGCACAGGGAATCGTATGAGGAGCCAAGTTCCTTTTATATTTATTTTTTTCTGAAGTGAAATTTGATCATAGGAAAAAAAGAAAAATTACATATATATTATAATATGTAAATCAGTTCTTTGGACAAAAATAATAATAATCCTTGATCACTTGGATGAACAAGTGTTGGGATCCCCCATAAAGCCCCCTTTGGGCCTTGGGCCATTTGCCCTTCATTATCATAAGAATTTAAATCATATCATGTACCTAATAATTTTATCATCTTCTCCTTTTTTCATTTCCACAAAATTGTCAATTAGAATATGCTTCTGCTGATGATGATGGACTATTGATAGTCTGAAACATGTACTGATTATTCAGTCAATAAATTTGTGGAGATGACTTTGTGTGTCTTGTTTATGAAAAATAATACAAATATTGATGAGTTGTTAGACTTGAGTTTTAACTCACTTCAGTATCAAAAAGGTACAGCACATCACAATGAATCATTATATTTTTGCAAGATTTTTTTACAAACACAAAATTTGCATTATTTCTTCACATTTGTTTTTAAATGCACAATAGACTGAATATGATTTGAAATAGTCTCAAAAGGGTTAGCTTTGAAAGTTTTATCTTTCAATGCCCTCTTGAAAATCTCAACATCTTTCATAGTTTGCTTTTTCCTCTTCCTAGCTGTCTCAACTCCCTTCTTATTCTTACTATGCTCTTCAGCTTTAATGCAAGTAGCATGTTTCATTTTCAACAATGGTTCTAATGATGGTAAAGCATCATGAAGGGGATTAGTATCCCCAATAAGAGCTGTATTTTTTCTCTTTTCTCTCACTTTAAGTTCCTTCTTCAATTCCCTAACAATATCAATTTTTTTTAGTAGGAGTTTTTTCTTCATGTTCAATCTATCTTTTTTCTTGATTTTGTTCACACCATGTGACTTTGTTGATGATTTGTAAGTTGCACTTTTAACATCCCTTGACTCGTCCCTTGATGAGTTTTTTTGTACTCCAAGTGAAGATTTGAAGGAGAAACTTTGTTTCGAGAATGATGATATACCTTTAGATAATATGCCATTTTCCCTCTCCCGAGGCTTCTCTGGTGATTTCCTACCATGTTTTGGTAATTTCTTCTTCAAGGGTACTTCAACATTTGATTTCGGTTTTGAAATTGGTAAAAGTGCACTTATCATGCGATGGGGTTTTTTTCGAAAATTTTTTTTGGTACTTACGTATTTTCGTCTGAAAAACACGAATTTCATAATGAAAATGTGAACAAATCACTATTTATCGAGATATTTCAAGAAAAAGTTCGAAATTTTGCCTTCTTTTCCCTCTTGTGTTGGATGCATTTACAGGTACTTGCTCTTATTATTTTGTCATTGGACACTTTATATACTCATGATGTACTTCACTGACACATTTTAAGATAGAAAATTCAACAGGAAATATGATTTTTATGGCGAGTTTTTCCTATTTAGTGAGCAAGCATACCGATGACGGTCATTTAATCCATTTGCAATCCAAATACGAGATGTCAAATGTCAATAGATTGCTTTGGAATGACATTACACACGCCATTATTTCAAATGATATTCTTCCTTCTTTTCACTAAACATGGATAAATCACAAGAAAATCATATTTCTAGTTGACTCATATAATAAAAAAAATGTGTCCAACATTGTGTGATATATATAAATTGTCCAATGATGGAAAAAGAAGGGCAAATTGTTCTAAATGTGATCCAGAAGACAGGCGGAAAATATGGTGAAATTTGTAACTTTATAGTGAAATATCTTGATAAATAATGGTTTGTTCACATTTTCATTATGAAATTCGTGTTTTTCAGACGAAAATACGTAAGTACCAAAAAAAATTTTCGAAAAAAACCCCATCGCATGATAAGTGCACTTTTACCTTGAAATTTTTCCCATTTCCACTCGATGAAATTTTATTCGTCTGGTATGGTATCGTATATTTTTCGTTTTTAATTAAAGTTAATAATTGATGATAAATCTGTAAAAACAAATAACAAATACATAACCTAGTTTCCTTAAACGTCTTCCTTCTCTTTCTTCAGCCTTCTCCTTTCTCTTATTTAACGCCAGGCAACTCGTGCACGAATTCAATCTGACCTTAAATGAAGCATCTAGAGACATAACGCGAAGAGACAGGGCGCTACAAATAATCCGTGCGGAAACAAGTTTACAGCAGAAAATTTGAAGCTGAAATCCATATATGATAATATCAATGATAATATAATGATCAAAGAATAGTAGATTCTCCTCTTTGTAATGATCTTGGCTATAGGTAACGAAATCAACCAATAGGCGTTGATGCCGACGTAGGGAAAAAATTATACTCATTTTGGTCCTATTTTTGTTGAGATATCGTATAGGCGATGAGCCATATCACAGTAGAGAGCTAGAAATAGTACATATTATATGGTCTGCTCACAAGCATATGTCACTTTCAGTAATTTTTTTGATTTCGGAATGAAAAATCAGCAGATTCAGTGCTGTCAGTTGAATTCGGAATAATAGAATCAAGAACAAGTCAGTGAATGACGACGACACCGATTCAACACTATGGATTCAACGGTCCTGACTGACCCAAGACTCGCGTTCAAATTAAACTTTTGTTGTGACAGTTCTTTAGTGACAGTTCAGTCAAAGAATAGTAGGTTTTCAGTTGTCAACTTCACAACTTGTCTACTAACCTAAAAAAATTCATTTCAGAAAATTCCACTTGTCATTGTTAATTAATTGTAAACTTTGTATCAATTCGTTATTTCTGTTTGCACTTTCATTTGTGAATCCGAAAAATGTTTGCAACTGAGAATGCCTACTATCCTGACTACTCAACGAAGCCAATTCAGCATTCTTTTAGTCCTTATGCTGACAATGGGGGGTAAGAAAACTCACTTTTTAAGTACTTCCCATGAATATTAAAAATTAATACATTTAATTCCAGGAGCGTGGTGGCTATAGCTGGAGACGATTTCGTGGTTGTAGGAGCAGACACTCGTTTAAGTGCTGGCTTCTCTATCTATACCAGAGAGCAGAACAAACTCTTTCCTCTGTCCAACACAACTGTCCTAGGTTGCTCTGGTTGTTGGTGTGACACCCTAACACTCACTCGTATCCTCAAGTCTCGCATGCAGATGTACCACCAAGAGCACAATAAGGTTATGTCCACCACTGCCTGTGCTCAAATGTTGTCCACAATGCTCTATTACAAACGTTTCTTCCCTTACTACATTTCCAACATACTAGTTGGGCTAGACAATGAGGGCAAAGGTTGCATTTATAGTTATGATCCAATTGGTCACTGTGAAAAGACAACTTACAGAGCAGGTGGATCTGCAGGTGCTTTGCTGCAGCCTCTGCTGGATAACCAAATAGGTCAGAAGAATCTTACTAAGGTTTCTGCTGAGTCTATTACACAGGAAAAAGCACTGGCTATTTTGAAAGATGTATTCATTTCTGCTGCTGAAAGGGATATCTACACAGGAGATAATGTCATGATCAATATCATCACCAAAGATGGAATTAAGGAAGATAACTTTGAACTGAGGAAGGATTGAAATATTCTAATGTATTTTGTTTTTTCTACTGTATCAATAATTCTATCAAAATAAATGTATTGAAAAATATATTAACATTCACTCCAAGCCTGTTCTGAGTAGGTAGGTATTAATTTTGTTAACTAGACTTTTGCTCTTTTCAAAATATAATCCTAGTTTGAGAAATCTTTGAACCACAAGCAATGAAACTTTCTTTGGTTTCAACAGTTAATGACTCAGCAATATTCCTAACTTCCATATTAAACTATTCCATGGTCATGACTTTTTACTTCACCTTGTATAACACTGATATTTTCAAGTAAATTTAATCATGATTCATTCTTTTTATTGAGTTTAGATAGATTTTTTTATTTAGAGTATTACATTCTTACTAGCATCCTCAACCCATACAGATTATTTTATGATTTTAGTACAGATCTTTTATCTAACAACTCAATTTATAATATGGAAAAGTCCACACCTTCATTCATTTTCTCAATCCAGAATTTCAAAATAACCATCAATATTCAACAAATGAAAACTAGTAAAAAATCAGTCCAAATATCACTTACTATTTTCAAATCACAAGAAAATTGAGGAATTGTTCCTCAATTTTTTCTTTCAATCATATTCAGGAGCGTCCGCAGAAATAATCTCAGGGAGGAGCAAGTCACAATAAATAATGTACAATATTCAGAACATATCAAAAAAACTGTTTTTGCACGACCTATAGGCGATTTTACACCGACAAAAGCGGGAATACAGGGTATAAAGAGTAGGCACTCTCTAGGCCGGGATTTTTCTGGCAATAAATCTACCACTATGTTTGCAGCAGCTTCTTCAATAATTTTTCTGCAATATTTATTGAAAAAACTTTGGAAAGCAATTAAGAAAATATGCTACCACACTTTTTCGATGTTCACAAAAAGCAATATGGCTACTATTCTTTATCGGTAGTCATGATAATCAAACTTGATTATGGGATTATTGTGTTCAGATTTTCGTTTGCAGTTTGACAATAATTGATTTTATCATAAGATTCTTTCAATTAAAATCGTCGAGTCGTGCAAAAAATGGTATATAAACCTCGGAAGTGAGTTCTTTCTTCCCTCAGTGCATTGTAGCGCCCTCTGGCTACAAAACCACCTCTGGAAAAATCATGCGCTCCACTCTCTCGATATATAATCCACTATTATTCTACATAAAACATGGAATTAAAAAAAGAAAATTAATTGAATTGACATAGGTATTCTGTTTACAGCAAAAATTACAATAAAAAATTGCACGTGATAATAATTGAAATCTTGTTCAAACAAAAATGGCATATTCTTATAGAGTCTCGAGCAAATTTATCAATAACTTCTTTGATAAAATTAACTCTACATCTATCTATAGGATGTCGATGAATACTAATCAAACAAAGTCTCAGAAAGTCACTATAATAAGCGCTAATCAGAATAGGAATTGAATAATGCAAATGTATCTTGTTTAGAAAGTATCTGAGTAAAGACCAGGCGCTAGGGGGGGAGGCGAAGCGCACCCCCTTACCTCCCCCTCCGGACGCCCCTGATTTGTGGAAATCTAAGAAAAAGTAATGAAAAACCAAGTAATTCAAAACATTTTCAGGAATGTTCAAGGAATGAATATAAATGATTTTGAAATTTTTCTGAGTGTAAATTATATAAGCTCTGATCTGGAGGACTTTCTCTGTTATCATCTGAAAGTGGAAGAAAACATTTTATTTTTATTTCCAGAGGAACATTGAAATACAAAAATAAAGAATAAATCATCCACCAATAATTTTATTGAAACAAATCTAACATTAGTACCATAGTTCCCATAATATATACTCACTATGTACTTACCTAACATAATTATGCATAAAAGAATATGACATAGGAAGCAATTAGATGTTCAGAAATTCCAGTTTTACAAAAATAAAAAAAATACTGTTCATTTTCGATTTCTAGCTGGAACAAACTATGCATCAAGCATCAAGTAATAAAGGTGAATTTCCCAAGCCCATTTTTGCTTATTGCTCAACTGACTATATTACTATACATGTAACAATTGTTGGGTTTGTAAAATAAATCTAGTGCTGAAATAACAAATAATCACCAATCACATTTGACCATTTTTCATAAGAATACCTGAAAAAAATCACTGATACATCATGCCATGGGGATTGAAATTTTTGTATGCAAATATATACTTACTAAAACAAAATTTGTGAAATGTGGATTTTTAAGGGCTTTCAGGATCTATACACTTAAGAACATAGATTTTATAGAAACCCCCCTCAACTAGTGTTTTTAGACAAGTTACAGGCCATTGAAGTGCATCCAGGGCAATATAGTTTCATCAATATACTTTGGGAAGTATGTCAAATATTTTTTCTCATTTAGACCTCTCTCTGTTTTATCTCTTGGAGCACAGGAAAGGGAATTTATTATAAATTAGTATAATTGCAAGAATTTGCATAGTGGTGTTGGTAAAAAGAGTTCACATTTGATATTTTTCTTGCATCTTGTATATACAATTTCGTCTAGAATTCATATCATTTGAATTGCCCTTTCAGAATTCATAAGAACTCTGGCCGAAAATTCGCAGAGGAGAATGTGAACCTGTGTATGTTTAATTCTAGAGGTATATAAAATTATATACATTATTAAAATTGGGAAAATTTGCACATACTTCTCAATGAGAAAAAATTACATCAGTCTGATGAATGTTAATGCACTGTAGCTCCTCAATGAATCCTATTAAAAATGGTATCATCCTATATAACACAAGCCACTGCAAAATAACACCTGAATAAAAACAAGAACCATTGGAATTATGACTTTATTCAAATTATTTAAATTATGTTAACCCTGCCCCTGAGTCACCCTGTATAGGTTGCACATTTCAAATCTAAAACCCTTTATTTAAATCATTGTGTCTTTCAACCAAACTACAGGATTTTATAAAGGTAGGTAGTAGAGATAAACAGCAAAAATAGGCACATTGGGAAATCCCTTTTGTGCTGAAATATAAGACACCAAACATTTATTCATAAACATTGTGTTAGAAGGGTCAGAAGTAATGATTTTTCATAGGGGTTTCGAATATAGAATATAAGTTAAGATTCACCTCAAACTGCCATGCAGGAACACATCCTACAAACACTACTTTAATAGAAAATAACCAAATTCACCATCCAAGCCTATTTCTTCCCTCCAGGAAGCACAAGTGCATGGCCACGATCTTTACCTCTCAACTTGATGCCAATAACCCTCTCAATTTTACCAATGATCACATTATTGGGGATACCTCTTCCTGCCTCATAATCAGTGATTATTTGTGGTTTTTCATTGATTTTTGTGGCAAGGTCTTTCTGGCTGAGGCCTTTAGCTTGTCTTCCTTGTTGTATAAGTTTCCCCACATCCAAAGATATCGTTTCATGGTTGAGTTCTTCAGTCTCGCGATCCAATTTTGCTGTGTTTTTTGTGGTGACATGCTGTTTGTTGCTGCCTGCGCCCCCTTAAAAAACAATATCAAAATTTAGCGGAACCTATATCAACAATGAGGACTCTGAGAACGACTTATCTTACATTTGAGTTGTGTGTCCACTGCGACTCCTTGTCTACGTGCGGCATTGACAGCTTGCTCGCTCTTCATTGTTGAAGCCTTCGGGGCCCTCTTTTTCAGGACGGTCACTGTATCCCAGTCAGACATATTTGAATAATTATTTGTATTCCTGATTTCTGTTTGAAACACCTCTTCTAGAAAGTCTTCTGGAAATTTCCACTCTTCACCTAATTTGAAAGGTTATATGAAAAATTGTTGTAGTTGTGAGTTGTGATGTTGTGACAATGTGATGTGAAAGTAGTGGCTGCTACACCGTCGTGCTGTTTTTTAGGTCGTTAGACTCGTAGACGAATTCAAAACTACCTGAATTCTGAATCGATACAACTAGAGACAGGACGCAAGTCGCAAAGAGACAAATAATCCTGTGGGATCAAAGCATATATCTACTACTCATATATGAAGCATAGCTGTCCCCACAGCAGGACCAACTTCTCTCTCTATAGGTAACGAACTCGACCAATACGCGTTAATGCCGACGTAGGAAAGGATAATACGAAACTTGTCAAAGCAATAGCAATTGACCATTTTAGAACACGTGATTTTGACATGGTTTCTTGAGGGGCACACAAACCTTTGATGAGCATAGCCCTGGCCATTCCTGCCACATCCACAATATAATAACAGTTTCACCAAACAAAATTATTAAATTTTTTCTGCTTCCAACTCGGATTCCAAGGAGAACGATCCCACTAATTCTGGTTTTTTATGACAAATCTTGACAAAATACAATGTTTGCCCCTCAGCAACCTGTCAAATAACGTAATTCTGGAATGATTATTCTTCACTTTCCGTCCTTATAGATTCAAAAAGTACCTCTTATTTTGGTCCCATTTTTGTTGAAATATCGTATAGGCGATGCGCTATATATAGAAATAGTACATATATGGATCTAATGCCTCCACAGTATTTTTTTCGGTTAATCACTAAAAAGAAAAAAAAGTAGGTCCATCTGGGATTCCGAACTGGGACCTTCGCTGTCTTATCAGGCATGAACCGTTATGGCCATTATGTTTTCTGTGAATTTATGTACCAAACAGATTTATTGTGGGAGGATCATCCTCACCACACGAATTATTTAATATTATTTATTGTTTTATCGCATTGGCACGGTGGACCGCACTAATAGCGATTGCCATTGGGAATGAACTGGTGGAGTATTTGTGCACTGATTGTATATCTATCCTTCTTTTTGACGTGTAGCAGAAAGAGAAATGTATACACTGAGTGCGCACTAGTATCACCAACGGAATCTGCTATAATTCAATCTGCACTGAAAATGAAACATCTAGATAGGAGGCAAAGAGATTAATCCTCGCCACAACTTCCACAAGGACTATTTGTTGAGAGAATGGTTGTAGCACGGTGCTTCTTCTTCAGGTCAATAGGTCACGTGGCGCGTGCACGATGACCGACCCTGGATGTAAAACATTGAAACACAACCTAACTTTTCTCATTTGCTTACAAAGGAATCAAAGGATTGAAATAGTTTTTCACAATATTTTGGAATACGATTCGTGTTTTTTGGGCTATTCATTAATTCAAGGAAGCCATCACATTGTGCTGTTGTACAATGCACAAAAAATGCAGCAAGAGACATCTTGTCTCTGATCTGATACCTTAGATGTGCAAGTATTGTGCAATGAGCTCAGAGCTGTTCCAGTCAGTACTTTAGCACCAGATTCAGTACTATTTGAAGATGTTCAGTACCAAATTACTTTTTGATGAAATCTAGCACTAAATGAGTTTTGAGATCCTTGGGTTCACATTGTTCACCAAGTGGATGAAAATGCTGAATGAGGGCTAACATTCTCACTCTCACCAGTTAACGCTACTGAAACGTGAGGTCAGTGTCAAAGTCAAAAGCCCAAAAATTTCGCCAGATAGTCATAAAGACTATGGCGTGTTTCATCGAGAATTCTCGAAAAAAATGATGTAGACTATTTGAACAAATAGAAAACCCCATGACTTGAGCCGACTTATGTTTTTTTTGCTCTCAATGTGGAACTTCACGATCAATTCTTACATCAACGGAGAAGAAGATATCGTAGGAACATACCAAATGAGCATAGCCTTGGCAATTCCTGCCACATCCACAATATAATATAACAGTTTCACCAAACAAAATTATTAAATGTTTTCTGGTTCCAACTCGAATTCCAAGGAGAACGATCCCACTAATTCTGGTTTTACATGACAAATATTGACAAAATACAATGTTTGCCCCTCAGCAACCTGTCAAATGACGCAATTCTGGAATGATTATCCTTCACTTCCGTCCTTATAGATTCAAAAAGTACCTCTTATTTTGGTCCCATTTTTGTTGAAATATCGTATAGGCGATGCGCTATATATAGAAATAGTACATCTAATGCCTCCACAGTATTTTTTTCGGTTAATCACTAAGAAGAAAAAAAAGTAGGTCCGTCTGGGATTCCGAACTAGGACCTTCGCTGTCTTATCAGGCATGAACCATTATGGCCATTATGTTTTCTGTGAATTTATGTACCAAACAGATTTATTGTGGGAGGATTATCCTCACCACACGAATTATTTAATATTATTGATTGTTTTATCGCATTAGCACAGTGGACCGCACTAGTAGCGGTTTCCATTGGGAATGAACTGGTTGTTCCAGTTCATATTTCCCATGAGTTTCGTACATTTTTTCCAATTTGAAAATATTTTAATCACTTTAATCAATTGAATTTCATTTTTCATTTCGATATTTCCATAAGGTGAAATTATTTCACTTATATTTGTTCTTTGCTGACTTGAGTTTGTGAATAAAAACTAAGACAATTGAAACTCAGTACTAGATTCCTAACTCTAGTACGTTTTCGAAATGTGATCTAGTACTATATATTTTCGGTCAGGAACAACCCTGATTGTACTAGTGATTTTGATTTTCCAGTTAGTTCTACAAGGTGTCTCCAGTGAAGAGAATTATATCAGAAAAAAGTACCTATCTTGAATTCTACAGGGTGAAATAAAAACCAAAATAATCCGGTTGAAATCGAACTATCTCTACGAAAATACACCGTGAGAGGGCATTGAAGAAATAATTAATTTAAAGATTTTCTTGAATATTTAAAATACATATTGAAATGTACTGCACTAAAATTCGTTGGGAACTTTATACTATCGCGAATGTGCATGACAATATGTCATACCAATTCAATCAATATAGAGGGAGATAGATATTTCACGTTCTCTTTGGGGAAAATTTATGTAACTTTGAATGAATTTTCGGAACTCATTTTGCTGTATTCGTGTTCGCATAGATAGGATACACGGTAGTAAGTAGGTTATTGCGATAGAAAATTCAGTTGGTATGTAACCGTATATTTCATGGTTATAGAAACAACGAAGTTGTCTCAGGTACGGTGAGAAAACGAATTAATTTATTCATAAAATGAAAGTCCCGTTTTCTCAATCAATATCTGTTTGATAAGATATGATGTGGAAAAATAACCTCAAAACAGTTTCTTAAAGAAGTTGTACGGGTATTTATCGAAAATTCGACTTTTTCAGGGTGAATTGAGACATGCCTTGTAAATATAGAAGACAACTTGGGGCTAGAAAATACGTGGATTATACTGATGCAAACCTACAATTTAGGTTGTTAGTTTTTCAGTCATTATTAATGTTCACTATTTCTCTAAGGAAATAAAAACCTCATTTTTCTTTTTTTTATTGGTAGATTAAAGGTCAATTTGTTATGTAACTTGTTCACTACCTTTTCTCAGCCCAATTGATCTTTTTTTTCAGAAATTTTTCAGAATATGTATAAGGATATAACTTCACTTTGTCTCAACTTACCCTGGGTAAAGTATTACTTGCAATTTTCGCCTTTTTGTATGCCTGTCTCAAGTTACCCCATTCTAAGGCTAAATTATTGAGACACTTATAAAATAAATTATAACAGTATAGTTATTTTTGTATCTAGAGTGCGAAATGCTACTTTGGTGATCGAGATCTGATTTTTTAAACGAGGCGTAGCCGAGTTAAAAAATAGTCGAGATGACCAAAGTATTTCGCGATCGAGTTGCAAACAACATTTTTTCTACAAACGTCAAAAATTATAGTTCTTAAGTAAAACTATGCTTAGCTTGATATGAAAAATAGTGTTGAACTGGCTTGAAAGGACTCCCCCTAAATTATTTTTTCTACAAACGTCAAAAAATGACAAGGTTTGCGCATTGATAACAAATTGCGAAGTGACACTTTTTTCAGTTTCCTACGTTACCATGATACCTTGCAGAAAACAATGCGCGAAGTAAAACAGTGCGCGAAGTACCTACTTCGCGCATTGTTATGTAAAATATATGAGATATTTATATTTCAACTTTATGGTTCTCAATCGAGCAAACATCCACGGAATCATTTATTTCTAAATGTTCAACAATAACTCTGTTTCATCTCTTGGAGCGCACGAAATGAAATTCCTATTATGTTCGTGGAACATCGTGCGTACCTAGGGAGGATGGGGGAAGGCCTTTCAAGCCAGTTCAACAATATTTTTTATATCAAGCTAAGCATATATTTTTACTTTAGAACTATATTTTTTTAAGTTTGTAGAAAAAATGTTGTTTGCAACTCGAGCGCGAAATACTTTGGTCATCTCGACTATTTTTTTAACTCGGCTACGCCTCGTTAAAAAAATCAGATCTCGATCACCAAAGTAGCATTTCGCGCTCTAGATACAAAAATAACTATTTATTTCGATTTCTCAAGAACGGTAGGCCCTACCTAATAATAAGACGCTCTTGTAAAAAAAGCGAATTCTTATCTTGATTTTTGTGAAAATCATGCGTAAAAATGTCTGAATAGTGTCTCAAGTAACCCCGTTTGACGGTACTTCATGAAAGCACGGCAATCTGTATATTATAGCAATTTGTGATAATGAATAAAAAATGGTAAAAATGATGTAAAAATAAAACTACAGAAAATTATAGGGTAGATTGGTTGTTATTCCCACCCCCCAAAAAAAACACCTTAAGGATGTGTTTAGGTGATAACATTTTCATCTAGGACTT